GCCATATAAAACACAGCTTCTCATGAAAGTGGCTATTAGGTAATTTGTGACAGGCCAGAATTCAGAGAAGTTCATGGCCTCAGAAAACTTTATTTAACTCATTTTCTTCAAATTACTCAGATGCAGAAGTTTTCTTCCTCTTCAGTGAGCTAAGAATCATTCTCTTTAATTCTCTTAATTCAAGAGAATTTAAGTATGTCTGGAATGACTACAATGTTATTGAATCCTGCAAGAATGCACATCATTTTGGTGCCAGACTCCATGATACAAATTGATATTGGCTGAGCGAAAAAATCCCCAGCCACTTTCATTGTTGTTTGGGTAGGAAAGAACAGGGAACCCTAAGAAAGATTTCTAGAGTATATTATAGTTTCATTTAGATAAAGAAATCAGTTACTTCTGCAAAACAGGTGGGAAAACACCGTAGAATCCTATACAAATGTTGTAATACCTTGAAAGTAATTTCAGTTTGTACATAATTACATTAATTAAAATTAAAACCTTTTTTCATTACTAAGAAGTATTTTCACTCTTAATAAGTCATGGTCAACCCTTCTAGGTAATGCCAGTCAGAATGCCCAGGATCTCACCTTCAACAAGACTCACTAGGTTGGATACAACCTCAAGAGCCCGTTTGTGTGAATGGTTCTGGAAGAGCTATACTTATGTCAATATCCTAATGGATGCAGGTCTAATCAGTTCTTAAGAGACATCAGTGACAGAGATTCACAGAGTCTCCAGGCAGCCTATTGCAGTGCTTCACTACCACTACCATTCCAGCCCTTCCCTCATCCCCCTTGTCCGGCATGAATCTTCCTTGCTGAGATTATTTGTTATCCTATCTGCCATGGATATGCAGAATAGATTGCATGTTTCTTTTCTGTAAGAGCCTTTCACATTTTTGAAGAACATGTTCTCCTCGGTCTTCTCTAAACTAAACAATACCAATCTTTTTTGTCTGTCCTCAAGGATCAAATTTATTCTCATCTCGCTACTTTGGACGCTCTCCAACCGGTCAGTATCTTTGTTGAAGTGCTGTGCCTAAAACTGAAAGCATCTTGTGAGTTAACCTCTTGTTTACACATGCCAGTCTAGCTTTATCATTTTCATACCAGGAAGACCTTGTTGGCTTACCTTTGTTTCGCTATTTTTCCTGCCCAAACACGCACTTTGGCCTAGCACGTATTCCAACTGAATTACATGACACCCTCTCCCCCTCCAACTTCTGCTACCGTCATGATCACTTTGAGTTCCACTTCCAGCTCACTCTGTGCTTCATCCATTCTCATACTTGGGTCATTGGTAAATGTAATGGAAATTGCCCACCTGCTATCTAGAATAAAAACTTCGCTCATCGCAGTGGGTAATCTCAACACACCCATTCTGATTTCAATTTGTGGTAACACCAGCATGGTTTTCAAAATAACCTTGCACGGATCTTGTGGAATTTTAACTTAGAGCATGCTCACCTGCAGTCTGTCACGAGAAACAGCAACATAAGCTTTTTTACAAACAAGCTAGATGGTATCTATTGATCTTCCCTTATCCAGAAGACTTGTAAGAAAAATTTGACAGCTTTGACAAAACACACTTCATCATTTCAAGGTAATTATTATTAATCTTCTAGGTATCTCCTAGTGTTCATAGAATTTGTCCACTATTTTTCTGGGAAAGTTCAACCAAATGCTAGCAATTTCCCAAATTCTTTCCTTTTGCTGCTTATTTCTTGCTCCATCATTTTCTGACTACTGTTATGAGCACTTTAAAAACAGTAGAAACAGAGATAAAAGTACTTACAGGTTTCCTAAGGAAAAAAAGGGATAGTGCTCCAATTAGGGGCATGTCTCCAATTAGTGGTTCCAGGATAACCCTCATAGTGCCATGGATCTGTGGAAGGAGAGGAAAAAAAGGCAATGGAATTTATTTTAGTTTGAGTTTTAAGAAAAATTTATTCACTGGCAATGTTCACACTTCTAATTCATTAAATTCTTGATTATGAAGGAATGTTATATATATAGCTTTACATGTCATCCAAACCCAAAAAATTTAACACAGGCACTAAACAGTTGTGCTTACGAGTTCATTTCATTCATCTACATGATGCTGTATCATGTTAGTGGTAATTTTGCTAAAAATATGAAGTAGATTATTTATGTAAATAAATTTTATGTATGTATTTATTTATGTAAACAAATGTGGCACAAACCAATATAACGGCATCCACAGATACTAGAACAAAAGTAGGTAAATGCTTATGTCAGACACACACATACACACAAAAAAAAGCATACTATTTTTCCTTGTTAGAGAGAGAGATCCATTATCAGAAAGTTAAGGAAATTTGAGAAACAATATCAGAAGTCAGGCCAACATCGATAACTGCACCTAAACTAACAATTGCATCTAGCACTGAAATATTAAATAAAACAAAGTTTTAAGCTCCATGTTCCCTTTACGAACCTACACATCACATCAACATTGGCTTGATGTGAAATTACCTCCATCTCTGCCAGTAGAAAATGTTATATATTTAAAACGATTCTACATCTGAAAGGAATTTATCCTTTCAACTAAGTCATGTTACTGAAATTATTAGGCAATATCAATATTACGCAACTGAGAAAAAAATAGTAAGCAATGAAACTACACAATTACTGCTTCTTTCTTATAAACTATTTCATCAGAAAACAACGATTCAATGATGACTCGATATCAAAATCAAAAGAAAAAAAAGTTATTTTCACCTGTATACTTTTCACACCAGCTCTGCAGAAGTATCTCTTGATCTCCAAATCAACTTCACAGTTTCCAACAAAACTAAAACAAAAAGAAAGTATACATTTAATTTTTTTGGACTAAACTGCAATGCACTCTTAGTTCTGTTTTGCACTGTCATGACTATATTTTGTATCTCAGTCTATACACAAAAAATGCATGTTAAAACATTACAACATATAACAAAGTCAGGATTGTTAAAAAAATTACAGCCCTTCAAAACATCACCACTGTCATCAAAATCATTCAAAATAATACACAGGTATGTTATCATCTCCAGAAGCATACATAAGAGAAAACACGCAAGTAGCCTTACTTTTGGGAAATAACAGATACAGAATTCATACTCCAGTTCAGGAAAGCTCCACATAGGTCTCATTGATAGTACATGTACTCAAATCCACTCTCATCTAATACAATAATAAGAAGCACTAGACAGAGATGGTTATTTTGCTAAAAAAATTGAAGTTGTCTGAAATATTCAGAGATTTGCAGAAACAGTCATCTTTAGAAATTCAATATGCTTGGCATGCTGAGTTGGATGATCCACTAAGCAAGGTTTAAGCCAAAAACAGTTGAGCCCTTTCTGAAGGGATAAAGGAGACAGGAAGCAAAATAGAAAATAATATATTAAAAATGATGCAAGTTTTTCCCTGAACAGTTCCTGCATCCCATTTTTGGGGATGCAACGTCAAGGGCTTGAAATTTTGCAGATGCAGCCCTATATCTCAGAGATAGATTTGTAGTAGATGGTAAAGAAAAGCCCCATCTATTTTGCCCATGCTACAAGGCTAAAAGATTATTTGCACACAACTCAGGCTCAGATTTTAGCAGCTGCTTTTCCTGAAGCTCCATGCTGGTCAAGCATGTACCAGCAGAGTTGAGCAGATCTTTTCCAATAACTTCTGCTGCTGTGAGCCACGTTGGGTCTGAAAAACAAACTAATTCTGAGACTCAACAAGGAATTTAGGAAGAAAGCTTGAGACTCTGATAGCAAAGGAATTGGTCAATGCTTCTACAGAATGAGAGCTAAAACCAAAAACCAACAGACTGAATACCAAGCTACAGCTAGGGAGAGACTGGCTGGACAAGGAGAGTGGCTAAGAAGATATGGGTTATAAGCTTTCTGAACAGACTGCCCAGTTAAAGAAAATGGAAGAAGGAACTAGAGTGGGGAGGAGATAAGGTAGCTTAAGCAAACCAGACACTGTTTGGAGGGGTGTGAAATTTGTCTCCCTCTACACGGCATTCTGTTCCAGATTCTGCAGTAGGGCCCAGGCTTCCTCACATTAGGTTCCTCAGATCTAGCCTGTACAGTCAGAAACTGTTCAGCTGTGTTTAGGAGTCTGATGGAACCTTATTACAGAAACATCTGGGAAATTATGAAGAAAATGGAGTTGCTCTCCTTATGGAGCCATTTTAGGATCAAGTCAAGATAAAATAAATTACTCTCACAGTAAGAACAGAACAGCAGGATGCCTGCCCCCTCCCCCTGACAACTGATGGCCACAAGGTACTATCAAAAGAAAACGAAGGTGAGAGTTGCTGCACTCAGGATATCCATTACGGAAATCACCTGTAGCCTTCTGTGCTGTGTGTGTGATGGTGCTATCTACGGGATTTCAAGCAAATGCAAATCTTATCAATCCCTTAAACAGAAATAAACAATAGTACTGAGACATTCTTGTAAACATGCAACACTGGAATTTATTTTGGACTGTTCAAAAGATAATACTATGCAGAACCATTTTGGTTCAATGACCAGTTTGGGGAACTGGAGGACAGCAACATGACAGGGGTCTATGTGGAAAGAAAGGTGACCATTGCTTTCCCTGGAAAGAATGTAGTGTGACTATACAGTTTAAAAATAGGTATATATTTTTCAACACACTATTTAAAACAATGTAATTTCTATTTTTACCTATCTAACTATATATAGAGATAGTAGATATATATACACATATATATAAATACACACACACATACATAATTGCATAACCACATGACACAGAGAAGCAAGGTCGATTAAAACGTGCAACTGAAACCTCATTTGTGGCACTTTGTAGCATCAGAACTATTTGTGTTATGAAGACTGGGAAGCAATATGCTCGTTTGAAAATCCATAACAACATGATGACATTGAAATAAAAATAGTAACAAACTGCATTTGAGGGTAATAAGTCAACAACTTTTAACCGTATAATAAGGTTAAACATGGTTTTATCCCTTAAGATATTTGGCTGGGTCCATTAACAGTCAATGCCTTACAGAATTCCACTGTAATGTAACATACAACTTGAAGGCTCATTTAGTAAGCAAATTCTATACATTCAGATCATAATACCCCAGAAATATTTATGACCCCTGTAACGTACAGGTCACTGAGATAGATTACAGTTTAATGAGGACAGTCTTGTAGGAATATAACGGCAGCTGTACTGTATCAGATGGGAAGCACAGTATACTGTATGTGGTCATTGTACCCATAGAAGATACCCAGAAGAAAAACAAACAAAGAATAGGACAAACATATTTCCCAGATTACAATGATCTGTGATTCTGCACTTTGGACTACCTTCATTAATTTGTAGTTCTTTAGACCCCATTTTTACTTCTGTTCTGCCAGTACAACGGTAGCCAGTTTCTCCATTCAAGTATGGAGAATGAAAAAAAAAACCCCATATTTCCATGTATTTAAAGCTGCAGCCTAAAGCTTTCTTCTAGTGCCTCTATTTTTTTGTCATGAGAAGGTGAACAAACTCAGTTGTACACTATTAACAAGCATTTCCTCAATCTCTCAATCTTTTTTGGCTTTCTTTACTACAGTTCACATTTAATTTGACAGAGTTTATCTTGTTTTCTGTTGAACCATAACCTTTAACTTTCCCCAAGTGTTTATTACATTCATGAACTTTAGCAAATGTAAGATTTCTATTTATTAACAATTTATTTAGACTTTATCTTAATTTGCTCAAGTAGTTACAATTTTTTCCCTTGCACATCTTCATCACCAGAAACTACACTTTTAAATTGTAACGTGAGTTTTTACAGTTTTTTTAACATAAAGCTCAGAGTAAGAGAAAGGTAAAGTGCTCCCTTTGCAAATGTGGTCCTGAAATTGAATCTTTAAGTACATTTTCCAATGACTGCTTTGTGGATTAGCTAGTCAAGCTGCTTACAAGAGTAAAGTTCTTAATGGGATCCTGAGCCATCATAGGACCTGTTTCAAAAGGTTCTGAAAAACACTCTGAAGCAATGACCATAATGCACTCGATATCCTTGCAGAAACAATAAAAAGTAAACCAAAAAACCCCCTTTTGCAATTAAACTTAAAAGCAAAACCCAAAAGAACTCAAGGAAGATGCAAAAAATACTAAATAAGTGTTCTGGAGAGACACTGAAACTACTTAAATGTACTGTATGGAAGGTCCAAAGGAATGCATACACCCCGTCACAAACACCTGACAGTAGAAGGGGCAACAGGAAGCCACAATGGTGAAACAGCAGGATAAGAGATTATTATTAAAAGAATGGATGTACTTAAAAAAAAAATAAAAAGACAAATAAAATAAAATCTTTCCTTCCCTCCCTCTGCCACCATCCCCCCCCAAGGGCTTGGCTTCATACACCTGTTCTTACAAATGCTCAGAGAGATTGTTTTCCTTCTCAACTGTATTTAGGGAACGAAGGGTTTATAGGAAGCTCCTAACTTTAAACTTAAAAATAAATTAAAATTAGAACAAACTAATTTAACTAGAGATTAAAATCTACATGGATAAACACTCCAAAGGACAGACTTTTCTCCAGCAGTAAGACTGCTCTTTATAACCTTGCAAAACTGAACTAAAGTTGATTCCATAGGAAATAGTTTAGGGTTGGTATCTGCACATAACTCTGTATCTAAACACACCAAGAACGTTTATTACAGAGACTCTTATTCTTCCTTCCTGTAACTACTGAAACAATCCCAGTGAAGGAGGATGCTTAGAGAACATTAAAAAAAAAAAAAAAAAAAATCAAACAGTAACAATTGATACTGGGGTGCCATCTGTCAAACTCGCGTAAGTAAAAGCCTTTGAAAAAGAGCCCTTTCCCAATGAGAAGGTGTCAAGGGCAAGTCTTAAATACGAAACAGGACTTCCTTTGATGGTGGTTCTGTCTAAGCCTTAATTGCTAGACTATGATAGTCACTCCATAGCTTTCCTGTTTCCATTTTCTTCCTGGAAGCCTATGCCAATGACACTAGGACAGGTTGTTGAGGTAAATGGGCACCTAGCTGACTCAGCACTATTACTGTTATTTAAGTCACTTCAAGGAATTTATTTCAGCCTTTTAGACTGGGTTCTGCTCCAGCTGTTATCACTTCTCTAAGTAGGTTGCAATGTAATGCAATGCTACATAGGGGTAAAGATTTCCTTCAGGTCTGGGTAATAAGACATTATTCCTGAAATTTTTGTACAAACCTATTGTCCTTTTTACGCTTATATGTCCCAACCTACTTCGTGAAGATGAGCAGGCGAAAAAAAAAAGAAAAAAGAAACACTAGATTTACCCTTTCCTCCTGTGAGAATAATTTTGCTTCAAAGGGAAGAAGCGGGTTTGGGAGACTTGGCCCCTCAAAAGTCTCAAAAATAGCTTCTCAAAAACAACTTCTTTGCACTGTGTCCATAGTGGTCAGACAAGTCTGTTTTCCTGAGGTCTTAAGTCTGAAGAGGTGAGGCTGTTCTCACAGCTGTAATCAAAAGTGGCAACAAAGAGAAAACTAAAGGAAATTTCTCCGTTAGAGCTAACAGCATCCATCCAATGAAACAAGCTTTTGAGACAATCCTGCTGTATTTTGTCCAGCGAGATAGCTGGATAGCTGTCTTTTTCCTACAGAAATAAAGTGATTCAATTCAATAAAGATTGGGTCCTGTTCACAGACGTAGCCCTCATGCCCCTCTGAAACCCAGGAAAGGATGCAGCAGCATCTTCTCTGATCACTCTGAGGCCCAGCTTTGACAAAGAAGCACAGTCTTCAACATAGCTGATATTTAGATAAATAATTCAAAATTAAGAACAACCAAGTTCAAACTTTGGAAGTGACTCTGAAAAACAAAAGCTGAGAGGCCTGATTACCCTTCTGGTTACTGCCAGCAAGAAGCCCAGAAAGCTGCTCTTTGCTGCATTGTCAGAGACTGACAAATCTGGCCTCTCTACAAGCTACAAACAGGCAAAAGTAGTCACTGTAACACATATCTATGATGGTGAAATATAAAAACATTGCTGGGTTCACTGACTGAACTTTCAAAAAACTCTGTAACTGCAGACTGTGTTGAGAAAGACTTTGGCAAATGTTGGGTAGATCTATTTATAAACCGACATAAAAGGGGTCATGACAAAAGGGCAAAGAAACCTGAAGCAGTGGAGCACAGTCACTCTTGCATTATATAATACATAGATTTACTTCACTTAGTGGTATGAGCACAAGCACTTTGGTAGCTATCATTCTCTTTTTCTAATACTGTGTTTGTAAAAAAATCTAAGTAACCGAGAAAAGTAAAAAAAACCTGAACATCTTATATCCTAAATTTTAGATGAGACTAAACTTCATGGCAAAGTTTTAATACATTATAAAAAAAATTTCAAAGATAGTACTTTAGCTTTGGAAAGTATTTTTTTATTAACCAACATTACTTTAATGATGCAGTCACACTGAGTTCATATACTATTCCCCTCAGATAAATGCTATTTACAGTATGCAGTTCCTTCCTCCATTCATACACAATTAGAACTAACTACATTTGTGTAATGAAGCAATTCTTCTCCTTTCAGGCCAACATAACTGCTGAATCAAACAAAGCCCATCTTATAAAGCGTGGGCACCATCATAATATGATAATAAAGTTTACCTGATTTGAAGATCCAAAATGATCTGCCTTTTGTCCACATTTTCAGTGTACACTTTTACACCATTTATCCGCAGAGGCTGAAACAATGAAGCAAGTAAAAGTTGGATCCTTCTACTGAACTATACCATTTTAAACTCCAAAAGGTAAATATATGCACATTCATGCCAGGTAAGAATTTACTATAAGCATTATTAAAAGATGTGAAGCAAAGCTATCAATTTAGCTCAAAATGTTATTTCAAGGGTAAAAATTACCTTGCTAGGATCCACTCAACCAGAACCCTTCTGGCAACTACCCTGGGTTTAGACCACTAGATTTCAAGATTTACCAAAGATGTAATATCAGGCTTTCCCTCTCCCCACAATAAACACCTCATTTCTCTGTACTAGTATATGTCTAACACTCCCAGACAAAGCATTCTTTTCCGTGCAACTAAAACAAGCTAAATTTAATTCACAAAAATGTAGTTGCCTTAAGTGGAATTTAGTTGGAATGATGGAAAGTAATCCATTATCCCCACAAAAAGTTGTGTCAACCACTCTGTGCTCTCTCCCTCTCATACAGAAACAACACATATCAATCAAACATTCCCAAGACTCAAACGTTCATCAAATACTAGGTAGGAGAGGATGACCAATGACCTTACTTAGCACCACCTCTTGTCACATTTTGAGTTTTTCCTTTCTGGAAAAATTGCTATATTAATACACCCTTTTAGTAATTTAAGTAAAATGGGAATCTCACTGCTGTCAGATTCCCACTGTGTTTGGGGCTGTGCAGCTCACAGGATGCAACTCAATCAAGGCTGCAATATAAAGTAAGAATAGCTGTTTCTCATGTCCAAGATAACTCAGTCCAGCTGCAGAAGCATACAGAGGTGTGGAAGCTAATTTAAACCCTACTTAAAATTAGTATGGCTTAAAAGGAATACTATTCTACAGTCTGTAATACAGGTGTATCTAGGGCAGGACAGAGCCCCTGTGTAAAAGGATTTACAACTTTAAAAAAAACCCCAAAACAAAACAAACAAACAAAAAAAAAAACCACCACACAAAAGGTTCAGTAAAGTATAAGGAACTGTAATATATGTGAAATGGAGCCAAAGAGACAAAAATAATTCCCCCTCCATCACACTTGAAACAACTTCAGTTTTCCTAACATTCAGAGAAGATTTTTAAATCCTTACTTAAAATCCCATTTATGACAAGCAAGAGGAACACAAAAGACAGCTTGACACAAAAGCTGTTAAGCTGCATCTCAACAGAAGTAAAGTTCTGGTTGATGTAGGTAAAAGTAGTGCCGAACTTACTGCAAGCAGAGGTAACATTCTTAGCTTGGACTAAGCAGGCTCTTCTGCAGGCATGTCAGAGCTATATATTATGACCCCTTCTTTCAGGGGACCAAACAGAAGGGAAACACCTATCTGCTCCTTGATATTATGTTATATGCAGTCCTTTGGAAAGCTGAGCCAGCAGCCTTGTCATTGGACTCCATACATAACATTTGTCTGTTACAAAAAAGGTAATTGCACTTGGATCATCCGGCAAGAAAAGGATGATGGTCCCTGCTCACTTAACATAAAGCATTACATGAACAGTATTAAAATCATGTTGCTGTAAGTTCTTCATATGAATAGGAGTTACTATACTTTGAGTCTTCTCCCAATTCTCAGGCAAATTTCTGAAGCAGAGACCCCAGGGGAAAAAAAGAAAAAAAAATGAAGCCTCTGCTAAAAAAAGCCACGTTTTTATTTTAATGTTACAACAGAAACCAAAATCAGGCTTACCACCAAGTGTCACCAAGAAATATTTTTGTTTACATTTAAACAAGCTACATGAAAATGGGATGTTAGACAGACCCTCTTAGAAAAACTTCACCAGACACCGACCTGATGACCAATATCAATCTTCGTAAAACTGAAGGTACTGAGGTGGTTGTTTGCTCCTCTTACTGCTGGTTCTATGGTCTCACGGAAGAGTTTCTCAATAAATTGGCAAATAAAAGGCCACATCTGTTTTACAGTCTAGGGGGGGGGGGGGAAAAAAAGAAAAGAATAATCTACATGGAACACAACTTCACACATAACTAAAAAATATTCTTCAAGGCATACATAAGAAGTTTTGTACAAAGTTTTAAACATTCAAGTTTTCTATACAGTTCATTACAGATATAAAACCTAGTTCCTTTTTACATGCAGGAAAGCCTTCTGGAATTCTCAATTTGTGTGTTTTATACATTTGTACAAATCTGAAGCACTGAAGAAGAAAAACAATATTAAGAATTTCTTCTTTTATCCCACAAATGCATATGTATTCAGCACTGATGCTGAATGTTGGGGAGAAGGGTGAAGAGGGTTAAATTTATTTGTGTGTAAAGAGAGAAATAAGAAAAAATGGATCAAGTGCATCTCTTAAATACATGCATAAGGTTTATAAATGTAAAAAAAAAAAAAAAAAGTAGTCATATCTGAAAAATCCGTATTCTTTCTTTTTTCTCATTATTTTCCAATTAATTCATGTTCTTCTATGCTCTTTGAATGAAAGATATTTGTAAAAAAACCAAGCTACATAGATCTAGATCTTAGATTATCACACATATAAATCAAAACAGCAAAATTGATTTATTTTTAGATTGTAGGTCAGGAAACTACAGTAACTGGAAAGTATCCCAGACAAGTAGAACATAAAAGACTGTGTTTACAGCTGCTATGACTTCCACACAATTATAGCTGTCATTATTTTAATGCCACTTAAAGTCATTCTCCAAAACTCACAATTTCAAGACCATGAAAATAGATTGCATCTTTCTCGTGACTAACTGGATCAACGACCAGAAGCTTCAAGTGTATACAGAGCACAGAAAGTTAAAACTACTCTGTTCTCAGATTCTTGTCTCACCATTTCTTTTTTAATCTCAGATTTACCTCCCCCCCCTTCCCATTTGGAAGCGATGCTAATGATTACCCTTACCTTGTTGAGCCATTCTGCCCTCTCTGTGTCTGGAAAATGGACCTTAAAAAAAAAAAAAAAAAAAAAAAAAAATTAATCCAACTACAAAACACTTTTTAGTTAATCATGCCCAGTCACTTATAATACAGGAAAGCTTAGGGATCTCCCTTTGAGTAATGTATACAGTGATCAACATATTAAGCAGTTAACAATCTTGACAAGAATATTAGAATTCAAGCAGATAAAATATGAACTCATTTCTGAACTATATAGATTCAGGTCCAAGCATATATTTAATAGTGGCATCTGGAATAAAGTATTGCTTTAACACCATAAACAAACTAAAAAAAAAAAAAAAAAAAAAAAAAAAAAAAAAAGCATAGCTAACACAGGTAGTGTCAACCAAATTTACCTTCTATGTTTCAGGGGTTTTTAGCATGATACACATGACTGCCAGAGTCCCGACTGCACTTCTACTTCCTTTCATTTATGCCAGATCTTTTGCAGTATCAATAAATCATGGCTAGAAATAGTTAATCATAAAAGCTGAAGCTTGGGAATATGGATTTAAGTTCTGCCAAAAGCCCTTCATAATACATTTTTAGTGATTTCTTTTCTTAAACAACTGCAGAAATCAGTTAGAGACAGAGGATGACGGTATATACATGTGATGGAAAGTACCCATCACAACAGGAAAACGCCAATTAAATGATGGAAAAACAGACGCAGTTTTCCAGACACAGAAGGAGAGCACAGTTAGTAGCTTTACATCTTACACACACACACACAAAAAAAAAAAAAAAAAAAAAAAAACCATAAAAACCTGAAGCAGTTCAGTAGAAGCAGAGTTAACACATTTCTTTAGAAACAAACAGTTTCTACAATGAGATGCAGATCACACTTCTGAAACACAAAGAGCCTTTGAACACACTAAAAAACTGTGACCTACATATACTGACTTTCGTGAAGCAATGTCTCTACTTAACTGAATTGTGAAGTCTTAATCTCTTCATAGTGTAACAGATTGTATCACTGGTTTTAACAGCAGTGCCTGCTGGTTATTTTTATTATGCATATATCCCAAATGCAAACAGTCAGTTAAATATGTACTTTTTTAACTGTATTTTCAACAATTTGTATTTGAAAGCAAGCCCCATTAATGATTTCTTTTTTCTAGTTTTTATTAAATTCTTGCATTAACAATCAGCACTATCATATTCTTGAATATACTCATTACCTTCTGAGCAGTCCTTACTTTCATCTAAGCATCTGTGTTTTAGCTATGTGGGAGGATTGGCCCCTACAGCAGAATCAATATTGTCAGTTATTTCTCCAGTCTGTTTCTCTCTCAGGTGTACAACTAAGGTAAGCTGCACACTTTTACAGATTCTTAAAGAATTACAAATACTGCTGCCTTCCACTGTCAAAAGAGAGGCTCTTGGCATCTTTTTCAAATGACTTTTTTCAAGTATATTATATACCTACCAAAACCATTACAAGTGGCACAAGAATGAACGGTGATCTGCTTGACTGTAACAAAAACATTCAACGGGATTTCTTTTACTTAGTGGGCTCACAGAATAGAATTATTAATAATGGATGGAGCAGTTTTGGAACAAAATTATTATATTTTATTTATTTAGAATTAATTTCCTAGAAAATTATGGTGGGTAGAATGTCAGAAGTCTGTATTTAGAGGGTTGGGTGGGGTTTTTTTGCTTTATTAAAAACAAAAAACACTTTTTTTTTTGCATTTGCATTTGCAACAGCACAAGCAGTTACTGTGTGTACATGAATTTATAGCTGAAGAGAGCTTACAATCAGTTTTTGTCTTGCAGGGTTCTCAAGCTGCTTCCAGTGGTCAAAAAGTTAAAGGAACAAAAAGAACGAACACTATGTTAACCCTAATGCTAATAAGTAACATTTTGATCTTTCTCCTAAAATATCTGTCTTCTGAATCTGCAGACAGAAAATGTGCTAATTCTTAATAATTACTTATCTCTTAAGCATGATGTTGGATCAACATGAATATTTCATTCTGATTTGCTTAGGAGAACGATCAGTGATGTTTACAGGGTGGGAACTCTAAAGGTGTTCCACACAGGGCAGAACATGAACAACAGCAGCTGGAATGAGCAGCAATAAAATAAATTAAAAAGAAACAACAAATTAAACACACAGATGAGGAAAAGAAAAGAAAATTCATGGAAATACCAAAAGCAAACTCGTCTGCTGCGAGTAATGCAAGACATAACAGTTACCATGTTCGCAATTCATTTTTAGTCTTTTGTACAAGTATCCAGTTAACAGGAGAGCCACGCTAGACTGTGAAAGACTGCCCATCCTAAATATCATTTCAGCCCAGATGAAATTCATCTTCCTCCACAGAGTGATACAACTTCCCAGATTTAGGGTATAAAGTCCCCAAGGCATAGGCCACGTTCCCTGCGCTATGCGCACGGCTGATATTCAATACATCTGACTGGAATAAAGCAGGTAGCATCTCTCTCTTGCACCCATCAAGCACCCTTCGCATTCAGTCCCGAATTAAGCAGAATCACTTGAGGTAGGTTGGGAAACAAACAAGAGGCCACATACGCTAATATCTAGTCAAATACACTAATTTATTACTTTTGAATTTTATCTACTGTACAGTCTTTATTAAGACCTTACTTAATAAGACATGGTTCTTAATTTTTCCACAGATTTAATAATTACTTGTCCTTTAGTGTGCCACACCTATCATGCTCCTACCGTTATTTGGGGTAGTATTAGGTCAACTCCTTAATTATATAAGCCTAGTTTACTTCTACAGTTGCATGTGTTAATAGGCAACAAATAATACAATTACTTACATCTTCCATTCCTGTTTCTCATCCCTTTTCCACCCTTGCTTTTCTACTCACTCCACTTTTAACATAGTTCAGTTGTATTCAGCATCTATTCTGACATCAAAACCAGAGAGAATCCATCTTCAAGACTCTGAAATTTTTCATCCAGCCAACCTTGAATCAAAAGTTGAGCTTTATTTAATCTTTAGATGCTCCACAACCAGGTACGCTGAATACAAGACATAATCAGTCTACTAATTGCACTAAGAGTTTTTGATATCAAACACAATCTTATGCAGACAACTGGGGAAAGCCTGAGAGATGGAAGTTGGTACTCTGGATTCATCAGGACTAACAAGAGAGGACTGAGGCAACTGCACAAACATTTTATGGCCAGAAACAGAAGCAGGAATCAGACTAACTGATCTATGTGCAAAATCTAACTCTTGTATAAAATCTATTAGATAAGCATGAGAGGAGCCAGAAGTCAAGATTTCAGCAAAGACAGTCAAACACTAAAAACATTTTCCACTTGGTTTCTGTTACTAAATTGCTCATGCAGGTTTGGTAAGTACTGTCTCATTTCAACCACTTGGTGTAGTTCTTTATTTTTCAAAGGAAAGTATAACTAGAGAGAACTGTTGCAAGAAATACCCTAACGACCATGTTCAACACCAAAAACATTGCAATATTATATGTTCAAGGAATGTTCTAATATTCAAAGTTATATTGCAAAATACTTGGAAGTGCTCAAAAGATGTGTTTCTACACACTAAAAATATGTTTAGCTTTCTCACACAACTGCTTGTGCTCAGCTCTAAACAACTCTCATGTTTACTTCGTATTTCTGATGTGCTCATATCCTGCACTGTCAAAAACTCAATTCAGAACACATGATTTTTGTAATGATCAATAAAATACCAGAAAGAGCCCAACGAATGCAGTTCCTTGTTCTGTCCTGGAAGATAATAAAACAAAAAAGGGACAAAAGAAAACCACTAACAAGTTCCTATTTCCGTAATAAAAGCAGAAACATATCTTACCCACAATTATTTTATTATTCAAACTCTCTACAGACACTCTTCATATTGGCTAAATTAACCGAGTTTTCTGCCCAGATGATCATCTGCATCTTTCTAAGGAAACAAGGCTAGAGAAAGAACAATACTCATTAAACTCAAACCCCACAGTGGGCAATTTTGAAAAGTCAAACAGTAATCAGCAAATGCTATAAAATGACTTTCAAAGCACAAATAATAATATTGTTGCCTTAAATAGAATTGTTTGTTCACATAAGGGACATTTCACATATCAACATAAACATCACTAAAAGTAAGCATTGACAAGGAAAATAAAAAAGAATGAAGTTACAACACCCTTCTGGAAGTAATGGTGAATTGCTCTCAGCACAAGTTACAGGTATTAGTGACCTACTTTAAAATATAAATTGCAAAGTACTTATTACTATTCACTGATCCCCTCACTGTAAAACACTTTTCTTTTTAAAATTATTTTTGTAGCCTTCTCCATCCTTAAACCTATTTATCAGTCAACCCTTGTTATATTTAACTTTTATTTAATGATTATGATTAATACAGTACATAGGTTCTAAATATTATTTACATGAACTGAAACAACAAAAATGGCACCTACATTGAAAGTATGAAACTACTGCTATTGACCAGAGTATTCCATAAAGCAAAAACTTTTTTTGCTACAAACCAATCATTTTCTCATTAATTGTGTATTACAACAAAGTAAGAAAAGGAAGCAATAAAAGCAGTTTAGATTAAAAACAAACAAAAAAACCAAAAACCAAACCCAAAGAAACCAATCAAACAAAACCCCACCATCACTGTATATTGGCTTTTTTTCCATTCTATTCCCCCCCAAGGATTAAAGGGTAAGAATTCACTTTTAGACTACATTAGAAATAATGTGTTATAATAGCTATGTTTAACAGATACTTGTCTGAGTCAGCATTACTTAGCTGATGTCTAGTTCCTTCTATATGCACTGTTTAATTACTTGTTTAAGCTGAAAATCTTAAAGAAACTATACCAGTAGCTTTTCATTTAATTATAAGGTCACACAATATAAACAAGTTTCTTGATATAGTTACAACGTAACTAAGTATTCTTGAACAGCTTTCCAGTTATTTCACGAGTATCTCTTATATTAGATATTGGTCACTTCGGTTTACTTTGGAAAGCTAAAATTACATACAAAAAT